TATCACGATAATACTCGATAAAAATCTATTGGAGTTTATCGCGATACTTTTGCTTTTGGAGATAAAGATCACACATACAACGATAGTACTTTTATCAGGATAAAGTCCGATAAATATTAATCGCGGTCTATTGACATACTGGTATTTACAACGCTAAATGACTTGTATACCGCGATAGTTTTGCCTACTGCGTTTTATCGAGAGACTGCGATAAACTGCACTCGCTTTTATATCGCGACAGAGTTGCTCATTATCGCGATATTTCAGCACATTTAGCATAATATGTCGATATATCGCAAGTTTTCAACAAAAATTACCCTCATAGGGAGGAGCGAAATATATCTTTACAGCAATTATGTTTAATTGGATGCAAGACTTTTGAAGTGTTTAAAAACAAAGTTCATTCAGAGAAGTTCAAAGTTTTGTATACAAAATCATTGGGTTACTTATTCATACCTAGTGGAATTTCAGCATTATTATAAACGGTATAAACTTTGACGAATAAAATCACGTAAATAATAATAAATTTCATTTATAAAAATGTTTTTAACAGCATTCATACGGAAAAGAAATGTACAATATTTTAGTTAGAAAAAAAATTGAAAAACAGAACCGTTTCGTTCGTTACGTAGAACTATTGTTTTCATATATTAAAATAGCCATTACCAACAATCTTCTTGAGATAAGAAAACAGAAATACGTTATGCCCAAACCTAAGGTACATTATGTCATACGAATCTACGTAGTTTAATTTTTTATTGTTATATTATCACCGTCTCTGCAAGTGGAGAGAAATACTATGTAAGTGTAAAAAGGAAGCAAAAAGATAAATAAAACTATATTGTTGTTTGCAATACGCTAAGTAATATTTGTAGGGTGATAACTAGAAATGTGTACACAATGACTTTTATAATAAATTTTTCGGTTGTTTCGTTTGTGATTTTGCGGAAAAGTACAAATAGTATAAATAAAACATTTCTACCTCTTTAATTAATCGCACAACACATAACAGTCTCTATATTAATGTGAATAATTTCACCAATATGTTTTTTTTATGATGTTTGATGAAAATAGCTTCTGGTGTTGAACAAACCGCTCAAAGCTACAATTGTTTATTTTATACTAACTATGATATGTACATTACTAGCTTTGGGCGTTCGATCAACACCAGAAGCTATTTTCATCAAACATCATAAAAAAACATTTTGGTGAAATTATACACATTAATATAGAGTCTATTATGTGTTGTACGATTAATTATAGAGACAGAAATATTTTATGGATACGCCTATTGCCACTCCCTGGGTGTGTCAACAAGAAGCTATTGCTACTTTCTGGGTATATAATAACTTTTTTCTTCATGAAGGATCAGGCGATAGATGTAAAAGCTAAATTTCGACGTTTTAAAACGTATGAGCATTTTGCCCACATTATATCTTTAATCAATCTTGAACACAAATTCAAAAGTGCACAGAAAATGCTATTTATTTTATTTACTGTGCAGAAAGGTACTGAGTGAGAATACTGCTATCCATCAAGTATATATTTGAGTGAATTGCGATTGCACCAATCAGTCAAAAATAAACGCAAGAAATGAAATTAGAGTTAAAATTCTTTTTAGTATTTTTGTACATACTAGAGCCTTTTTTAATTACAATAAAATGCTTTTCTGACTACCACTTTCATTCTGCTCGAGAAGCTAAATACCTTTTGAAAAGGTCAGGGATCCTTGGGAGTAAAACAATATAAATCAACGCCAAATGTGTAGCCGTATTCTGCACTAATTGATAGTTTTTGTAACGACGAATTGAATAGTGTATGCGACTTTTATATTTAAGATAATTAACTTGACAATCTTATTGAAAGAATGCTTTACAGTCACCTACATTCAGTCACCAAGTTTTCAGATTTTTCTGTGCGAAGTTCATGATGTTATTCGCTAATTATCACTGTCGCAATAATTAATTAACTAAGGAATGCTTTTATAGACTTAAAGAGTAAAGATTTTTCCAGAGATATCGATAGAAAAGATGTTCTGAAAAATGTATTTCACTCAAAAACTAAGAAAAGTTCAATGTCTCGCTTCTCTAGAATTTTTCTTATAGGTCTCGACTATTTTAGCAAATATAAACTGATCATAAACCCTTATCAGAATCAAATTCACACCCTTCGAATATCACACTTACACCAGGATTCTAACTTTTCCTTCCCGCCATCTACGTTATCCGCTTCCAACTTGGCCACCCACACACTTTTAGTAGCTCAGTCGGCTCGCGTTCGGTCCTTTCATACAATATTAAACGCGCATAAGCCCTATAAATCTTTTTATACCTTGACTGCGGCTAACACCTACTTTGTCACCTCTATTAGCCTACTTCCAAGAGTGGTAGACGCAAGGTGAACAAAGCGCATCTGCGGATCCGGATTTCCGCGTGTATCCGGGTGAAGCGGCATGGATCCGAATGGATTCGCGAAGATCTCCTTGGATCCCTAAGTATCCGAAATTTGTCCTAAGAGTACAAAGCCTTCTATAAACTTTTTATACCTTTTAAACAAAAGGGTATAAATGAAACAGAATAAGTAGAGCGAGAAGAAAAGTAGAGCGAAAAGTAGAAGAAAAGTAGAGCGAAACGAATATTTTGCTGCGCGAACGCACTGCGATGTGTTTTTCGAGCTTTTCTCAGAATGAAACAAATTTGAAGAAAAGTCTTATATACCATCGATGCAGCTTTAAACGGCGAATAAAACTATCTATTACTCAATTTTTATGTACACTGCGGACATCCACGTTTTTGGAATATTACTGTTAAAAATGATCTTTTCAGCATAGTCTGCGATAGTATTTCTGTTTTTTCATCATGAGAGAACCTAGATTCCGGCCTACATTATATACCAAAAGAAAGCTGTTTCAAAACTCTACAAAATGACTGGTAATTTCCTTCTAGTTGAAAGTGCGAACAATTACTTTTTTAGATATTACTACTGAAGAACGATGTTTCACCATACTGACCGACAATGTTTCGGTGTTCTTACCGTGCAAGAACTTAAGTTGCGGTCTACAATATTTATCAGCAAAAAGCTCTTGCAAACTCCACAAAATGGCTTGTAATTCCTTTCTAGGCGAAACTGCATCCCTCGCAGCGGAAAAATGCATTTTCATCATTTTTCGACGGATTTGGCCTAACTTGTAGAACGTCTGCTGACCACATTCCTTAACGCAGAACCTTGAAGTTGGTATCAAATGAAAGAGCTCGTCGAGTGCTATATATTTTGATGAAGAAAAGTTATGCTACATCTCGGTGTCTTGAGACAGAAACTTCTGAAAAAATCGGTTTTCTAGAAAACCGATTTTTTCAGAACTCTCTATCTCACAAGGGTGAAATGGCTGTTTTCAAACAAGGCTAGAGACTTGTGATTTTCACCATTCGGTTCAACTTGCCAAGCTCTATAATATGAGGTCGGTCTCATCACTGACATAAAAGGTCGATGTAAATGGTGGTAGGTTTTATGTGGATTGAGCCTATGCCTCAATGTCGAGAAAAACATCACTCTCCACTAGTAATATCCGAAAAAGTGAGTGTTTGCCCTTTCACCTAGAAAGGAATTACGAGCCAGTTTGTAGAGCTTTGAAAGAGCTTTTTGCTGATACATATTGTAGACCGCAACCTAAGTTCTTTCATGGTAAAAATACCGAAACATTATCTATTATTGATACAACAAAATTAAATTGATGGTAGATTTCAAACAAAAATTGGTTATTGATTCATCAACCTACCGACAAGAAGAAGTCACACAACTATTTCAGAAAAAAACAGAGTTTTAGGTGAAATTATCAGAACATCCTGGATACCACAAGACTAGAAAAGACCAACGCTTATGTAAGTTCCTCAGCCATAGGGAATATGCTAACCTTCATATTACTTTGCTCCTTTCTTCTTTCAAGGCATATTTTTCTGAGGTGAACGAAAAACTTAAATCAGTTAGTAATCAAATGAGATGTTGACAAAAGTTGGCACATTTCAGAGCTTCTGTTATGGGGGGTATTAACGACCTAACGGCTAAATTAAATGAACTGATCGTCAAGTATTTTCAAAAGATAAACTATTATTCTCGACTGATGATGGTATTATCGTCCGTAATCTGACAGTTATTAAAAAAACAGAAGAAAAGAATGTGCAGACCGATTTACGAATGGCAGATATCGATAGTGCTACGCCGAAAGGTACTGATATGTCTGAATTCGTTATACGTCCTGCCTCTTCTGCTGAAGCTGAATCCAATGCGGCCGATGATGTATCTTCCAGTTCGAGTGAAAACCGGTTCGATATTTCATCATTTCGATTAAATAACACTATGTGTACTGAATATACTGTTGATACTCTTACAAGTGATGGCCGAGATATTTTATATAGTTCAGAAAAATCAAATGTACTTGTCTATCGGGATTCTGAAGAAGATTTTGAAACAACTTATGCGTGGTATTATTCATTCATTTTTGACATGATTTGGTTGTCTTCAAATGTCAATGCACATTTGTGTACAACACTTGATGGTATTCACGCCGTTCGATTTCACAGTAAGCTTCAAATAAGACTAGCTAGCAATTGGTGGCAAGTGAAGTATTCCGTTTTTTGATACTACTCGTTCTTCGACTGAATGATTGTTGATGCATTAAACCACTACTGTACTAACAACGTTGTACGTTTTAAATCACGTTCGTATTTTATGTAATCAAGATCACATTTGGATGCAGATGGATTCAAATAATAAAATTATATTCTCGAAATTTTTTATCTTAAGTGGTATGAGTAAGTTGCGGGTTGTTAAAAAAACTGAAGAAAAATGGTACATTAAACTTGACAGTAATTCGAATAGGTTAGCTGTTCTATATGATCAACGAGTTTTGATTGCGAATGGCATAGGTGAACTGGAACAGGTGTCATGCGATGATTAAATAGCCATTCCTAGGCTATTATTTAATAATATTTCAAAAATATAACGCTTGTAATATTCTTAAATTTCTAATTATCTCATGCCAACAGGCAAGTGACATGGGAAAGTTGAACTCGGTTTTCTTCCTATAAGCTAGATCATACTACGGCATACCCCGAACTGCAGAATTTTGAATGATGCTATTTCCACTACACAGCAGAGATTGAAACGCGTCGAGTCCCGTACTGATCACCCGTAATAAATTTCGATTTTTCATGCGTTTTTCTGTTGAAAATCTATAGTTACACCCCTTTTTCTTGGTTTTTTTCGGGGTCCGTTCATATCAAGGAAAAATAGCTACACAGATAGAAAAAACTTCATCGGTAGTGTAAGTATCTTTTTCAGAAAACTGATGAGTTTTCATCAGCGGATAATAAAGATTTATTTTTCAATTTTAAAATACGTCAACGTTCATTTAGAAACAGTGAGCCTCAGTAAAGGAATAATTCTTTTTAGAAACAGAACCATATATAGCCTAAGAAACTGAACAAGCTTAAGTAGCAAAGTTTCAAAGTATAACTTCAAACTTTGACTTGACAACCAGAATCAGTTCTCTAATATTACCGGCATGTACGATTGGAAATACATTGAAGGTGTTCGTTTCGTCGTATGTTTTTATCAGCTATTGAAATATGATTGTGTTTCGAACAAAGATTTATCATCTAAGTCATTTGGTTCTAAACGATATACGTAGATAGCAATAAAATTGAATGTTTGCAAACTTTAACGAGTGCCGACGAGAGTGCTCGTTGGATACCAGAGTGAGTGAACATGGAAAATGTGACGAGGGGCCATCGTCAAAAAATGTTTACCCTATCTACAACTTCGACGGAAGTAATTTTCAAATTTTCCAATACTAATAATTGTTAAATGTAATATCACTTTTAAACGATTATCAATATGTCTTGAAAACATATTTTGCTCCCTCTTAACCCTACAGGTTATTCAATTTATTTCTAAATAAACATTTAAAATTATATCAAATTCAGTGATACGAACACACAGAAAAGTATAATCTTACAATCTAACTCTTAGCTGGAACGTTATATCAAAATAGGTCATCAGTTTGGAAAGAGATGGCCTTTAACTGTTAATCATTTATTTATAAATTGTATACATGATTTCAATGAACAAATAAGACGAATAAATAATTGAGCAAGAAAGTGAAATATTTTAGTATCTAATAGCACGCTGTATTGATGATCCATCATCAAAACGACCACCAGTAAATGAATTAGAAAACTATTAGATATGTTTATTCGTGGTTTTAATGCTGTTATGGAAACTGTTATGGAAACTTATGTAGCAGCACCATCATTTATGACAAAACAAAATCGTATATTAAATGATTATTCTAGAAAAATTCAACCAGAAATTAACAAATAAATGATAAAGGAGTTTGCATCAATAATAAACATTGAACCAGCATATATTCAACATGTGATGAATACGGATGTAACAACTCCATGTACTACATCATAAACGATTTAATTTTTACAGTTTGACACTTCGGAATGCCCAAAGAAAGCTGCCAAAATTAGAATTAGAAAGTCACCGGGGTAAATTCAAAACTCTGTTAACAATATTTATTTAAGCTTGAGTTAAGAAAACTTTCCTGAAACCGTGGTACGGAGAATTGAATGAACGAATTAATTAATATTTTTCCAGCATATTTTTATATTCGTTTCTAACATTGACTCACTACTTTCAGGACCTGTGTAACTTGCCGTAATGATTAATTTGAACAGCGTCTATCACTTTTTCACTCTTATGATAATACTATAAATAAAACATCAGGAATTCTCACTTAGTAAATATTGTAAAAGGTACCTTTTAGATCAAACCAGCAGTGTCAAATTCTAGAATTCTATGTAAATTCGTGGAACTCACAGAACTTCACAGATTCGATCGGTACTTGCTTACGTGGGACCTTTTCAAGATGTTCCCTTCCGATTCCAATGATTTGTACACGGATCGATAGCCCTCAGTGAGATAGTAAATACCCTAAAAGGACTGGTGCCCGTGACTCTTGAAGACTTGATTTTCTGAAATACCAGTTTTTCAAGAACTCTAAAAAATAACCAAAACCTTTCTTAATTAGGCATGATTGTAGCCCGCAAATTTCTAATTAAAATCAGACATCTCCCAGCTTTACAAGACCTTTCTTTACAATATTATAAAATCTACAAGAAGGCTTTGTTTATTTTTTAGAGTTCTTGAAAAACTGGTATTTCAGAAAACCGGGTCTTGAAGAGTCATGGGCTTTGAATCGGCTACTAGAAACGAGCGTATGTAGAGGACGTTATCAAATGGACAAATAACGTTTTTAAAAGAACGAAATATTATTTAGTTTTTCAAACGGTTCTCGGTCTTCTTACTATCGGACAATAGACCAATGATACGCTCAAATGCACAATCATCTCACCTATCCAACGGTAAAATGCGTTGGTTGAAAAGTAGAAGGGCATTGAAGGGCAGAAAAGTTTTTTTATTACATGGATATCACACAGATACCCAGTAACCAAGCCTTTTAGTTTACGAGAGAACCATACAGCGCCAAGTTCTAAGAAGCATGTGGTCAGAAAAATCTGTCATATCTTATAACAGAAAGCTAATCATCTGAAATTTTAAAAACCGGTACTATCATTTCTGACTGAGAAAATGTTTCAACAAATCTTTTCTACCGCCAACGAACAAACCACAGTAGAGATTTTCGACTTTTATTTTTATTTGATTTATTCTGATGTAAAACGTAAGTTTATCAGTAAATAGCTCTTAAATATGCTTATATTATTTTTATTGTACGGAGTAGTAACTATCTGCAGGTGTCGTATTTTCTCATATAAATGGCCTTTCAACAGTATTTTCCTCGTTATTTCATTGTCCTTTGTTGTTCACTCCAAATTTGTTGATATTATGTGATATTGTTTCGGAGCTGCACTGTTAACAATTATCTCTATTTCACCATACAACCGATTCAGATATTCAGGAATAATTCTTGAACGATGATCAATAACTCTATTGTTATCAACAGCGGCTTTGAATCTCAATAATGTTTTTCCAAATGACTCGATGGTCTTTTGAAGTATTCTTACAACTTTTTCCTGCATATATCTAATCGCTTCGATGTCATAACCTTCGAGTATGTCTAACCTACCATCTTGATCAAAAACTAATGTTTATGAATGAAGTAAATATTTCGGAGGACTCTTGAAAAATTTATATTGGACTATGCATATCTCTCTAGATACATTAACAGCGACAGATGCAGTAGTAGCACTAATCTTGTCAGTGTCATCTGAAATATACAGTCTTACGATATATACCGGATTTATCATAGCTTGAATAGTGGATGATCATTTAACGCAGTTAAGATGTACTGTGTTGCATTATTCAAAAAGTTTGAGCATGGCTTAGTTTCTCTAAAGGAAACACTTCCGTCAATGATGGTTTTATATTTTACAACGTTATTCCTGGGAACTTTATTTTGGTATGAGCTGATCAAATTCTGCTCACAATTTGTGTTTTTTAAATTCGCAGCCATTGTTCAAAATCTTCACCTAAATTCGATAAACATCGTGCATTTTTCAGAAAACTAAAATCCGAGCACTAAAGTAGGATAATTGAGTTTTCGTGTTTGTCGATATGTTGGTTCTAATTTCCACTAAGAAAGCCTAAAATTTTAATTTCTACTAGAAAAATTTCCAGTTCCACTGGATTTTAATTTCTCCGGCAACATATGCTTCGATACTGACGACAGCTAATAAAACAGACGCCATACAATTTATCTATTTGACTTGGCTATTCAAAAGACAGAAAAAAGAGACCTTTGAACATTGTCACTCTTTAACTAGTTTGTTTTTGTAATATTTCCTACAGCTTTTCAAGTCTTCAAGTTTCCAACTTCTCAATCGCGTAGATTTGAAGGGCAGAACTTTTTTGTTTCAAAATGAGACATATCACAACTTTATGTATCAAATTTTGTTTTCGATTCATATATAGCATTTCCAATGCTCTTGCATTTAAAACCATCCGCGTCAATTTTGGAGCGGGATGAGACCCGATGTGAGCTTAATACAATGGGTCGAAATTAGGCGTGGCAGAGAGAATATCTCAGATCACGATCAGATAGCATTATAAGGAAATAATTAAGACGCTCAAAAGATGTCGCTATGTACGATATGGAATGTATAGGAGGTGCAATAATTAACACGAAAGCGGTTGATCGCTACATAGCGTCACGATCGATTGCCGGTCTCATTTGTCGTCAGTGCTCTAAAGATCAAATCTTATTTAACATTCCTATAGGAATCTTATAGAATATCTTCAAGATTCTTATAAGAATTTTATAAGAATCTTATATAAGGCAGTCGATGGAAATGCGTACGATATTGATAAGAATCTTATATAAGAAAATGCTAGGATTTCTATAAGAATCTTATAGGAAGGATACAGCATAATTTCATAACACTCTTTAGTGATCAGTACTCTATATTCTACTGTTTCATAGGTGAATAAAATAGTTTTCTTTCCACGTATTTAATTTTTCTATAATAAGACCTTCGTCCCACGCGGACAGTCTCATGACATGTCCTCACTGTCTACTGCTTGTAGACCGAATTTATGAATTTACTTTCACATATCTAAATAGGAAGAAAATGAAGTTCGAAAAATAAAAACATGTAAGATGAGAATGCAGGGCACGACATGTTACTCGTTGGAATAAATCCCACTTTTTTATCAGAATCTTAAATTAGTAGATGAAGTTCTTTTATGATTGCTTCTAGTGCTTTATTAAGACAGATATGAAAAGAGGTTTGATGCATATTACTAGTATTCGATCTGCTCTGTTTTCCACGACTTAGAGAGTTCGAACTGAATTTGATCTTTATAGGAAAAAAAGGATCTCAAGTAGCACATTTTTCTAGAGATTAGTTTAAAAAGCGGGATGTAAAAAGGAACAACATGTCGTTCCCTGCATTCTCATCTCACATATTTTTATTTTCCTATAGCCATGGTAGATTTGTGGAGGTAAATTCGGTCTACAAGCAGTAGATAGTGAGAAGAAGTCACGAGACCGTCAGCGTGGGACTAAGGTCTTATTATAAAAAAATTAAATAAGTGGAAAGAAAATTATTTTCTTCACGTATGAGGCAGTAGAATATAGAGTATCGCTCACTAAAGAATGTGATGAAATTGTACTGTATCGTTCCTATAAGATTCTTATGAGAATCTTTCGAATTCTTATCAAAATCTTCTGAGTTCTTACAAAATAATGATATATTATGTATCTTACTGAAATTCTTATCAGAAGCTTATAAGATTCTTATATTTCTTCTTATAAGAATCTTATCAATGTCTTACGCATTTCCATCGACGGCCTTATATAAGATTCTTATAAGATTTCTATAGAATTGCCGTAAGATCGCTCGACTAGGGTAGTACCATCTAAGGATATGACGTTTTCGTGTTGATTGTCATGAATGAGATATGAATAAAAATAAAATAAAATTTAATGGAGAACAGTGTGGCGGTTTCTGTGGCGAAGCTGCTCTTAGTCTATATTCAGGTAACTTCTATTTATATCCGATATGAGTTAATATTAAAAATGTTTAGCAGATAGCGAGATTAATTTGTCAAATTACACTGTTTATAAACAAAATGCTTCCCGCTAACAGCACTACTGCTACCTTTTCCGTGCTGGTTTTCTGCTGCGTGTTCTCTGAAAACATCTGCTTTCTTCCTAAAGATCATTTTGCCAAACGAGGAATTTTTTGTGTGTAGCATATATGGATCACCGCACTCTAGACTGCTGCAGTGCGAGAATTTCGCGTTTCAAAGGCAGTCTTTCTCAGTTCTTTTACTCTTTCTAACTGGCATCATAGTTTTAGAAAAAATTCTAATCTGAACTATTATTTTTAAAAATTCTCGGTCCTCACGAAGAACAAACAAGAGTCGCAAAAAAGCTCTAAAAACCTTGAAATATTGTTGAATATATGAAATGCGGCTTCTATCAGTGCCTTGCTCGACATTTGAAGAGTAGTTGCAGGTTTTACTTTGTAACGTACAGCTCTTATCATCAGCTTTATACTGTTCGAATTCCACGCCATGGTCAGACAATGACAGTCACTTTATGAAGAGTGTTAGGCAGACGCTTTTAGAAACTCAACTGGTCTGATTTGAAATTTTTCAGACATTCTCCTTGCAAATAATTACAATTTTGTTCTATGAGCAATGAGGGATATAAACGTTTTCCTCTCACATGAACTATTATTTTCTCTTACCTTATTATGACTTATTCGTCTGCGCAAGATCTGTACTAGTTGAAGAAAGCGAGTAGAAGAGAAGGCATTTCTTTCCTCGTTACCTCTTGTCGGTTTGTTTTC